GCGTTAGGGAAAACCTCTTGGTAAACCCTGACAAGGCACAACTCATAACCTTTACTCGAAAAACAAGGTTGGAGGTTTTAGAAACTTCGACTCTGGAGGAAGGCTAAACAAAACGAACCAAGTATAATATCTGGGTCTAATCCTAGATAGCAAACTTACTTGGAACCAACACTTACAAAAAGTGACCAAAGAAGTAGAGAGGGTAGAACGATAAGGTACCGTCTGCGCATCCATCACGAGTGTAGAAATTATGCGTGATTCAGCCTTCCACTCTTACACACGTAAATGACGAGAGGTTGCCCTAAAGCACTGTAAACAAATTCCAGGATCGACTTTATTCAGCGATTATGATCATGTTCAGCTCTGTTTTTTGTTTGTGTTTTGGCTGTTATAAGCTTTTTTGGCGTCAATTTTTTGTTATCTTGCTTATATTTATGATTTTTTATACTTTTATTCCGATTTAGTATTAAATTATACTTGTTAATTATTTTTCGATGCACTATTTTATAATTGTTGCACAAAATGTTGTTAAACCATCCCTGAATCTTGTTTACAAAATGTGCAAAACGAAATTGTGCATAGTGTCCAGACTTTTTCATTATCATTCTACCCCTCTCCACTTCATTGAAAGTGACCAACAAATGTAAAATGTCTCTCATTGTAGGGAGACGGGCATTTGGAAAACGTGGGGATTAAAACCAAAAATGGCCCACTGGCTATATTTAGCAATAACAAGACCCATGATAACTTATGGAGCGGTTGTTTGGTGGCCAAAAGTAAACCAGAAAACAGCCCTCAATACCCTCTCAGGAGTACAGAGGCTGGCATGCCTTTGTATTACAGGAGCACTGAGAATTATACCGACAGCCTCTATGGAAATCATTCTAAACCTCCCACACTTTGACCTAGTCATAAGGGGGGAGGCCAGAATGAGTGCATACAGACTGGAAATCTCCAACAACTGGAACCCACTGGGACATATAAAACATACCAGAATAACACATGAAGTAAATGATTCTATATTAAATATGAGATCAGATCACATGACACCCCTCCTAACCTTTAACAGACTCTTCCAGGTCAACTGGAACGAGGTAAATAATGAGATAGATAAATACTTGCTTAGCGGTCTCGTATGGCATACGGATGGATCTAAAACTAACAAGGGAACAGGCTCTGGCGTACATGGAGTTAAACCCAAATGTGACATCATCGTCTCACTGGGAAAACATGCCACTGTATTTCAGGCTGAAATACATGCAATCGAGTTGTGTGTACGAGAGAATTTAAGAAGGAAGTACAAAAAACAAACCATCCTAATTCTCTCAGATAGCCAAGCAGCTTTAAAGGCTCTTGATTCAAACAGAATCAAGTCAAAGCTTGTCTGGAACTGCCTTGGAATACTAAATGATCTGGCAATCCATAACAAGGTAAAACTAGCGTGGGTACCAGGGCACAAAGGTATCCAAGGAAATGAAAAGGCTGATGAACTCGCCAAAGAGGGATCAGATCTACCATTCACAGGACCCGAACCTGTATTTGGGATAAGCAAAACCTCTGCTCGACAGGCAGTGAACAGGTGGATAACCACAAAACACCAAATTCACTGGCAACAGATAAGAGGGCACAGAATCAGTAAGCTCATGCTAAGGGGACCAAACCCACGCATGGCTACTGAGGCACTACAACTCGCAAGGCCTCAGATGTCCACCATTGTGGGATTACTAACGGGGCACTACTTGCTGAAACACCTTCATGTAATGGGATTACACAATGATTGATCCCATTATGTGTAGACTTTGCATGAAAGAAACCTCATACCATGTGATCTTCGAATGCGAAGCTCTTACTGGGCGTCGTTTCATCCTTTTCGACCTAGAACCGGAAAGAACGCCCCAGGAACACTTGGTAGGGAACCCATTAAAACTAACCAAAGACACAGGACTATTCCAAAGATAGTACCTGAATACGGGGAAAGCAGGGGAATACAATAGACCTAAGAGGCCGCACTGTTCTGGGCCAAACCTAACCCTACCTGCTTACAACCGATAAAGATAAAGAAAGATCCTATTCATAACACATGATCATGGTCAAAATATTAAATACCATATACCGTTTACCTAATTTAGGCTATTTTCTCAGTTTTCTTCTATTTTACTTTTTTTTTATTGATTTCAATAGTTTTCAAGAGTTTCAAGGGTCCCCATAAATCTTGGGCCCCTAGGATATAGCCTACTTAGCCTGTTGGGTAATACGGACCTTTGTACAGCGTCAGGATGTTAGACAAAATTAACTGTATTCAAATAATTTTTGCAATAAACCAAAGGTTCTATACTCTGAACTTTATCCACAAAATAAATAACTCATTAATATATGAAATAATGTAAAAATAAAACAAAATATCAGTACTTAAAAAAGTTTATACACTTTAAAATATAATATACAGATACTATTTATGATCTATCTACAATATATTATAGGCACATAATATCGCAAATATACAGAATGTAACAGTATATTAATAAAAACATAACAATATAGTGTCTTAAAATGTATTAGTATGCTTCGAATAATGGTATAAATATGGTAAAAACAAATCAAAATGATTTAAAATATACAATTTATATAATATAAAATAATCCTAATTCTTTTAAAACATAAGAACAGTAATACTTTTTAAATAAGGTAAAAAAAAATCATAGACGACTTGTGTTCCAAAAGAAAAATCGATGTGTAGTATAACTTTAAAAAGATGTATTTTTCAACAAACATACGACAGAAAGATGATTTAATTTTCAAAGATTTGGCACAAATTAATTTTATACATATAATCTAGTAAACAAATTTTGAAAATAAATTGACATATAAACATCGTTCACAAAATGCCAACAAAGACAAATGACGCAAAGATGTCAATTAGTAATAAAAATTGACGTTTAATTGACTTATAAAATAGTTTCACTAAAATGATTTTCTGTAAAGAACTGTAAGTATGGAATTCATTATTTCATAATTGGCCCTATCACTTCTTAGTTATAAATTAATTAATCCTTACCTAAAACTTATATTTACAAACATTCATATTTTTTTATGCATCCTATACAAAGATTTGAGGAATTAAAATCAAATTATAACAAACACTAGCAACCAATTTGTCTAATTATAAAATAATTTACTCCATACTGTATTTTGGTCAAAATCGCCTGCGAATAAAACCAAACATCTTAAAAAAATTATTTTTGATCTAGTTAATATGATTTAATTTAATCTCGGGGGTAATCACAATTAATACTTTAAATAGAAAATTATATAGTTTTTCATGTAATTCATTTTATAGCGAAATAACGAAATATATTGAGTTTAATCAAAATTAGTAAATAGTCTCGTTTTAATTTCAGATATTTTTCATAGCTGATTCCCAAAAGTAGAAAGCTTGGGATTAAGTTAACTGATCATTTTATGATTACATGTACGTCACTTAAAAGGTAAAAATTGTGCGCCTAGACAAAAACAATAAATCACTCTGTAATGTGCAATTTACTAATCATCTAACTTCTCAACATGCCTTCCTCATATTTAAAGTACTTCCCAAATAAATAACTAAATACATTTTTAAGTCTAAACACCTATTTCCAAAATATTGTATTTTTTTAAACATATTTTTCTTCAGAACTGTTTTGTCAGATTTATTTTATGACGTAAATGAAATCATAACTTAATCTGACTATAAGTAAAAATATCACATAACACAATCATATGAACTTTTCACAATACGCCATATTAGTGTGACATTTAACTTCTAACCAAACTTTTAATAAAAACATCATTAAATTTTTTGACATATACATTTTTACTGTTTAGTGTTTTTCTTAATATTGTTTACAGGTTATAAAAAATAGTTTAAAGGTATATGTAATTGGTAACTAAACGATTATATACTTGATGCATATTATTATCATTACTTTTAGGAATATATTTATAAAAGTTTAAAAAAACTAAATAATTTAGGTAAATAAACACTGTAATTGCATCGTCACTTTTAGGAATATATTTATAAAAGTTTAAAAAAACTAAATAATTTAGGTAAATAAACACTGTAATTACATCGTCACAAATTTAGCGTATTTAGCTATGTTATTTTATATTTCAATTCTACTCAATATAATTATTTGCCGATGAAAGGATATCAAATAATTTTTATTCTAATTATTTCCATCACATACGCTATTCTAGGTACTATTTTATTTCTGAAATAAATAGTTACTGGATACACTAGGACAATTTGTTCGTCGACATTAAAATTTTCTTATTTAAAGCTGTATAAATCTGGTTCTATTATTAAAACAAGCGAAAGTAATTATTGTTATGCTATGTATTTATATTGTAATTTTCCCAGTGTACCCATGGCCAGTTAAAATTACAGACATGAAAATTCTTAGTTTGCTATCATTTGTCTTTTTTTTAATTATCCATCAGTTATTATTTTATTTTCCTGTACATTTAATATATTGTATATTGTTAACTTCCTTCCAATACTCATTTTGAATTTTGTACGAAAGGGTAAAGTTTATTCTAAAACCACGAGTAAATTGTTTATAATTGTAATAATTTCATTTCTAAGAATTTTCATGTTCTGGGATTATTTCAATAGGCACGTATTTAGATTTTAATAACTTGACTTTGTTTCTGAAAAATATTTGCCATATTAGAGAAAACAAGTTAAGCAAAAACAACTATTTTGTTACATCCAACCTCAGATATGGATATTTTATACAGATATCTATAAATTTAATGCATTTCTTCAAATATTATAATTTATGTACATGTAATATTTATTTGCTTAAATAGAATCCTTAATTTTTCATAATTTAATTTTTATTGATTTATCTAATAGAATAAATATGAGGCTTCTTTAATGGTTTAACTGTTTTTGTAGTTGTGTAGAAGGAATATCGCTTAACTTAATCTGGCAATAATTATTTAACTATACTTAGAGAACACTATAAATGTGCTAGGATCTCCATTTCAGAAGGTATCTCCGTAATTTGAACAGAACTATTATGATCTATTTGTGAACTACCGCTAACAGTTACAATCACTGGGTTCTGATCACTAGTTTGTACAATGGTGACGAGATTCCCGTCTTTGCTTCCCTCGAAGTCACCAGAACTTCCTTTTAGTAACATTTTCACAGGGTTTAAGTCATGCTCAGGTTCCATCTTGAGCGAATCTAAGGTTATGTTGTCCAAAGCGATGTCTTCCTCGGTACTACCTAGGATGTTGACTACGTTGACCATTGAGCCGTCATGGTTGGATTCGGACAGGCTTAGAGATTGTTCTCTACTGTGAAGTACCGAGTTTGATTGTAAAGTTCCAGGTCGCGTACTTTGAGATCGGTAAGATGGCGGACAGCTGTACTCCGATTGTGTAGCGTCTCGACGACCTGAGACTGGAGCCCTAGAAAAACAAAAAAAAAAACAAAATTATTTAATATAGTTGTTGTTTCTTTATAAATATGTATAATTGAATCATGAATAGTTTTTGTGAACTGGTGATATTTTTTTTTCACGATAAATAGCAAAAAATTCTATAAGCTATCTATTCTAATATATTCTATTGAAAGAATTGGACAAAGTTATTTATCAACATGTCCGGCAAACCACTCTGATAGAGAGGCCATATAAACCAACATGCCTATCAAACTGGAAAATCTTGTTAGTCTGCTCTGCATCATCTCGTAACTAAGATAGGAGGGACTCAAAAAATTGTTTTAGGAGCATTTCTTGGCATAAAAGGAGCTTTTGATAATACCGCCTTTAAATCAATGGTAGATGCTGCTCGCAAACATAGAATAGAAGACACCATCTGCTGGTGGATAGAAGACTTGCAGGTGAATCTCCACAGGGGATACTAACAGGGTGGATTCGTTTTTCCTCTACTGTGGAACCTAGTGGCAAAACATCTGCTCGACAGGCAGTGACCAAGTGGATAACCACAAAACGCCAAACTCACTGGCAACAGATAAGAGAACACAGAATCAGTAATCTCATGCTAAAGGGACTAAACCCATGCATGGCTACTGATGTACTACAACTCGCAAGGCCTCAGATATCCACCAATGTGGGATTACTAACGGGATATTGCTTGCTAAAACACCTTTATGTGATGGGATTACACAATGATCCCACCACGTATAGACTGTGCATGGAAGAGGAAGCAACCTTATACCATGTTATCTTCGAATGCAAAGCTCTTGCCAGGCGGCATCTCATCCTTTTCGGCCTAGAACCGGAAAGAACGCCCCAGTAACGCTTGGTAGGGAACTTAGTAAAACTAACCAAAGGCACAGGACTATTCCAAAGATATTACCTGAATACGGGGAAAGCAGGGGAATACAATATACCCAAGAGGCCGCAATGTTCTGGGATAAATATAACCCTACCTTCTTATGACCGATAATGATAAAAATATAATAACACTTATATCAAAGACACAGGTTCTACAGAAAGTATCTGAATATGGGGAAAGCAGGAATACGCCCAAGAGTCTGATATGTTCTGGGCTATGTACGAAATCTCGTCGAGTTCGCTCATGACGTATTGTGATGTGGAATATTGCTATATGATTGGCTATGAGCAATTTAAAATTTATTTTCGCACGCTGTTTTCGATCATTTGATACATCAAATTCGTAAAAGCCACGCCTTCCCACCACAATACGTCACTGTGATGTAGTAAAAAATCGGCGTAATATCATACTTATTTCTTATAGTATCATGCTTTAAACCGACAAAACATAAGTAATCAAAGAAAAATTGAAAAACTCCGTGCTTTCCGGCTGGATTCAAACCTGCGGTTTTAAATATATTGACCATCAAGAAAATAAGCACCTTGATATTGAGATGTTTGATATAATGAAACAGTGTGAAGAAAATATATCATAGCAATTATTATTCGATTCCCTGCAAGAAGTATGAGAAGAGTTTTTACTTTCGATTTGCATTCATTTTGATTTCTAATTCGTTTTGTTTACTTGTTGGCTAAAAACTTTGGTTAAGTCATTAATTGATTTAGTGAATTTGAATGGACTATAACAACACATTAGAATTTTCAATTCAATTTACTAGTTTATTTTTACAAGAACACATTGATTCCTCTTTTGCAAATGTTTAAACCAGGTTGATATTGTATTTATTATAGTTGAAGTAAAATAAGTGTGTTTTTATTGAATTACAGGACTATATTGGAAAACAACGCGTTAGTTCAGATTCCACAACAGAACATTTGAAATAAATTTTCGTGATTCGTTGTAGGATTTGATGTGTATCGTATTAGCAGTAAATTAATTTCTGTTGATACAACGTCCAGATGGTAGGTGAGTTTTTTTCGGGTTTTGCTCACCAGTAAGTCAATCATCTTTAAGTCGCCTTGGAGTGCCACCGCAAATAATACTAATAATAATAGCTACTTCTGCACAAGCTCTGTTTTAAGGGATACATTCGTATGGGGGGGGGGGGGGGAGGATTATAGGGAGAGTATTATAAAGTGATTTACAAAAATTGTTTCTAAAGTAGGTCATGACCGACAAAGACAAATACGAGTCATGTTCGTATATCAGTATCAATGCATTTCTCATACACACCGATGCTGTATAGAGGTATTTGAAGATTTAAGAACGATTGGCCCAAATTAGCACATTAAACTGCCGGCTAGGAGTCTCGACAGTCAATGTCACGAGGTCTAGAGGTAGGGCATTTGTGTACAGTACAAAGATGTCTGGGTTCGAATCGCACCGCTGACAGGCTTTTTTTCAAATCTCCAAGTATGTGTGTTTACTTTTGGGGTTCGAGGATGGTCTTAATAATTCGGGGTTTTCGAGATTTGTTTCCGAATTTTCCAATTATTTCAGATTAAACATTTTTGTTTCTAAGCTATGCGCTTCAGTAACTCAATTGTTAAGAATATGAACGGCTAATGTCCGAGATTCCGGATTCGACTACTGGCCGATGCACTCATTTTTTCTTTAATTCTCAGCTTTTTAATTTTTTTTTGGTTTGTTTCCACTTTGGGGATATATTTTCATAATTTCGTAGGAGGAATTGGGGATGTTTCATTTTCATAGTTCGCCGAAAGTGGCGCCTTAACGCGTCAACATCAACTCGCCGCAGAAGTCAATATCTTGGTCTTTCCCGTACTACTCTGAGGAGGATTCTGCACAAAGACCTCGGTATGTTTGTGTACAAAGTCCAGTTCGTTCAGGAGTTGAAGCAAGTTGACCATCCAGTGGGCTCTAAACCAGTTGAACGATGACCCTGATTTTGAAGAAAAATAAACTTTTCGGATGAGGCGCATTTTCACATCGGAGGTTATGTTAACAAACAAAACTCAAGGATTTGGAGCACGGAAAATCCACACGTAGTCGTAACAAAGCCCATGCATCCAGATCGAGTTACTGTGTGGTGTGGATTTTGGAGTGGCGGCGTGATTGGACCCTTTTTCTTTGAAAATGAGGCTGGCCGCGCCATTACGATTAATGGCGACCTCTATCGAGAGATAACGAAACTTTTTGTGGCAGGAATTGGATGATATCAATCTTGATCAGGTCTGGTTTCAACAAGACGGCGCAACTTGCCATACCGCCGCGGCCTACCATCAATCTTTTGAGCACAAAATTTAATAATTGTGTAATTAGCTGTTTCGGAGATGTTAATTGGCCACCTCGGAGCTACGATTTAACACAACTCGACTTCTTTCTTTGGGGCGCATTGAAGGATACAGTTTATGCGGATAGTCCTCAAACAATTGAGCACTTAAAACAGAACATTCAAGCTCAAATAAAGCAGCAAACTGTTGAAAAAGTGCTTGAAAATTGGTGTTCCAGGATGGGCTATTACCAAGCCAGCCGAGGTGGTCACTTAACTGAAATAATTTACCATACTTAATCGGAAGAAATATTGTATTAAATAAAGGTAAATTTGTTGGAAAAAAATTAATTTTTCTTGTCCTCATTGCTAATTTATAATTGAACATATAAATGGCCCACCCTTTATAAAAGATTTATTTATGGATGAAATCTTACCTCAACAAACTTCCAGATTGACTCCTATACGTAGGCGGTGGTGACACAGCATTATGGATCCCGCTTTGTATTTGAGGAGTATTCCCCCTCTCCAAAAGTAACAATCGCAACCGATACTCCTGCATTGAAGCTTGATAACTAGGCGGCGGAGGCCTGTATTGGAATTCTGGATACATCATGGCGGCGTAGGGATGATGTGGCCGACCGTAAGCCGGAGGAAGTCGTGGAACGAAACGTCGTGTACACACATCGACGGATTCGGTACTGCCTAAGCCCAACATCGATCTGCAAGTTGATGAGTCGTGGGAGGTTAGTCTCCAAGCTACTCCGCTTACTGTTACTAGGACGATACCAACACCTGTAAAATAAAAAAATAATGTTAAGAACTATTTTACAGTTCGCTATTGTATTTGTTTGCTAGTAAAATTATGGAAATTCGTATTGTACGTCTGCGCACTAATGTCTCTAAACAGCTGTTGCAATTGCAGCAAATAGCGACGGACTGAAAATTTATTGCTACAATTTGTAGTGCAGCCGCAATTCTGGGAGGAAAAATGGCTAAAATGAGCGCTGCGAATCAGTTTAAAAATTCCTAGAATATTTCGCAAAGAAATGGAAATATTTTAAAAGCGGCTAAGTAAGCAAGAATATTACATAAAGATGTGTCTGGAAATACGTCCTATATTGTAATTTCATTTCACCGTGTGACTCGGAAGACGTATTTTCGGACACATCTTTATGTAAGATTTTCCGGTTAAAACGTCCAGGTAGGGGGCCCTTTTTCAGGCAGTGGGCTCTCAGTCAGAAAATGGGCCCTCGTAAATTAAATGCAAGAAACCCCGTAATACGTGAGAGGACTTTTTGAGACTTCAATGAGAGAGAACCTTTTTTTGCTCTTCAATGAGAGAGAATCCTTTTTTAGCTCTTAAATAAAAGAAGACCTTTTTTTTACTCTTCAATGAAAATTAGACCATGAAAAAGGTGGGTCCTTCTCTCTCCTGACCGGTACGCCTTGTAGGTGCCAATCCGACACTGTCTCCTATCACCTAAAACTTTGTCGATATATACGGCACACCTTGTGTATGCTGTTGTACATTTGCAGTTGTAAAAATTCTTCCACTCCAATAATGTTATTTTTTTATAATTTTTGAATTAATTGTAGGTAGATTCCTTTTTTGCGTTTACATACTTATATATATTTCAAGAAATGGGTGTGATCAACTTTTCGGCAGAAGATTGATTTTTTTGAAAGAAGTTTACTCTTTTGATGTGTTTATTTTTTAGTAGGAAATCCCAAAATTTGTTTAGAAATAACGTAAGATTAAGGACTCTTTCTTGGCGGCTGCATCTCAGAAACTATCCACCTAATTTTTAAAATTTTAAATAAGTGATATTTCAGTCAAACTAATTTTCAGTGTATTTTTTATAATATCATTTCTATTTTTGTTTCGTCCAACTAATTTAATTACTAGTATTTTAGCAATTTCTAACTATAGTTAGGAATTAATCAAATGCAGACATTATAGACATTTAGTAAGTTTTGGGAAAACTTAGTTTTACATTTGTTTTGAATCTGTCAAATATAGATAAAAAAATTATTTAAATATAAATATTAAGAAAAATAGCGCCATCTTTCGGATTAGAGGTAAAATAATTTGTATGTGACTAGTATCCTTGTTAACAGATGTTTTGAGCTAAACCAGTAACTTCACGATTAATTATGACTTGCATCCTTTTTTACACCAAGGGCTTCAATTAGTAAAAGTAATAAATAATTTTAAAATTAGTTATTTTGTCTTAATAACCTAAAATAATTTTAAAATTTGTAGTTTTTCGTTAGTGGGTCGCAGAAAAAATATACTGTACAACTCGAGTGGATTGTCCATATCAGACTCAGACGAATGAGCACTTCGACTACGGCGTCGTGCTCAAACTTCGTCTTCGTGCGATCATAACCACTCTTGTTGCACAAACTACTATTTTTTTGTTGAATATATTTAGAATTGAGTTATTTTGGGATTTGTTAATTATTAATATGTCTGATACGCTATCAGAAAAAAAATAATTTCGTCGCTAAAGAGAACGTATTTCAAAGAAGTCCAGCATTTATTTTTTCAATATGAACCTCCCTAATAATAAAAAAATATTAACTTTTCAGTTTTCCAAGAATAACATGAGCGCTGGCATTAAATACGATGTGGAACAATTATCGTGAGCAGCTGAGCTACTAAAATTGTCAGGGCATGTACATGAAATAAAGATATAAATAACAAAGCAACAATATCTCAAGTGGAACAATTACACCTGCCTCTATTGTGAAAAACTTATTAACGGGCGTAAAATATAATTTTAATTCTTGCAATATATAATGCAGGTTTTTGAAAAATTAATTATCGTTGTTTGGACACAGTTGCAGTTAACGTTGTTGATTAAATAATTTTTAACTTTAATTTATATCCTGTTAGGTGTACTACTAAAACAAAATTAAATATTACTTGCATTTTTGATGGATTTATCAGCACTCTCTACTCACATGCATTGTTTTTAATGACAGAAATAACAATGTTTATATGCCCAAAACATCGATACAAAAATTACTGTTGTTGAAGTTCCATTTAATTTGATGAGAAACTTCATTCAATTTTACTATAATTGTGATGTTATCTTAGGATAATTATTAGTTCGGTATAGGGTATGTTACGTTATAATAATTTTCCATTCGATTCGTTCTTTTTAATTTCATTTGTAAGGTTTATTGCGCCTTACAAATAGTCTCTCAGCTAGAGTGAGTCTATTTTCTTTAGAATCCAAACCAAAGAAAATAAAGAACCTGAATCAAAAATAACCCAAGCCGTTACAACAACACTACTATCTCCACTCGTGTGTTTATTCCAGTGGTGGATCTAGAAAAGTGTTCTACGAAAAAACGAGATGTTTATTTATTTGCTTAAGAATGGTTTAGTTATGGTAGGATTTCTGTTGCAGGAAAGAGTAAAAACTAAAAATATACCTACAATTATTAGAATAATTATAGGTATCTGAAACAAGAGTCTTTAACATTTTAGGCAAGTAATAAAGTATGAATTTCAATAATTATTGCTTTTTGACCAACTTTAATTACAAAATGATCTCGAATATAATTTTTTTTATATTTTTTGTAGATCCATTTACAAGCAATAAAATTTTGGTTATTTGCTAAAATCACAATCAAAAAATAGAAATCGTAGATCCATCCATTAAGAAAAAAAGGAAAAACAAAAATGGTAACACGCATTTGTGACTTTTGGCCTTCATCAATAAGGTAAAATTAAGTTTAAAAGAGTATGGAATTTGAGATGCAAAAAAATCATGTCATAGGTCTCTCCAAGAGCCAACCACATATTTTCTTCCGAAGTTCAGCAATACACTAACTACAAAACTTTATTCAAGCTCGTATCCCTCTTGACAATATGAAAATCAAAAACAATGTACCCCTTGTCCTTTAACAACATCTAAGAACATTGAGTGGGAGTTTCTTTGGTACTTCACATTCCTTTTATAACTGTTTTATAAATTTTCAATTTTGAGGTTGTGTTGCATATCAAAATCAGTAACATTTTAGTTTTGTAAATGTTTCTGATGAAAACAAATTGAGTCTAGATTTGTCATAAAAGGTAAATTTAAGGCGATAATAGTAAAATGGCAGTATCTACCTGGGATATCTATAACGTGGTTTAGACATAATGTATGACCCACAATAAAGTCGTCTTTGGATGCGCCTCCAGTTTTATTTATATTTCTAATATTTTTTCAGTGTAAAACAAAAATTAAATTTATGCAATTCGATTTTTTTTAGTAATAAGATTATGCTAATATTACTAATGATAAAAAATATTAAATTAACATTGGTTTTGTCTTATAAACTAGTAAAACCGACAGTAGATTTAGCTTTAGAACTGTCTTTGATTTTTGTTTAATATAGCAGCTATTCAAAGGTATTAGGAAATTATTTTAAGAGAGAATCATATTTATAAAATAGCGTTGTAATAAAAACAACTGTGATACAATAATAAAGTTGTATCAGTCATTCCTACAAAACAAGTTCACCATGGTTTGTTGCATAATAGTTTCAAATTACTGCACTTTATGACTTAAAATATAACATAACCTTACTAAATCGTTTGCAATTTAAGTATTTGAGAATTGAAATGATTAGATTTGTTTCTACAGCTTTATAGAGCAAGCATAATTTATAATATTGCTGGAATAAGCAAGTTTAACATGGACACCGCCAAAAATATGGCTCTCTTTTAGTATTGGGGCATGATTATTCAGAACATAATTATTATCTGGCTGAATGATACTTTTTTTTGACTGTCTAGACAAAACAGCAAATTTTTTTGCTAATATTTTTTACTATTCTCTAAAAAGCAGGTACCACTTATTTTTTATATTTCTTCACTTATTTTCAGACCATACACTCACATATAAATGGTATAGGAAGTAGTTCAACAAACAAAATACAAAATAATAAGATGTAGTACTATCAAATAATATAGTTGTTTATTTTTTTTTTATAAATATTTAAGTATTTAGTATTTTAAATATTCTTGAGTAAAATTATTGCTATATAGTTTTCTGATTTGCAGAAGTGTATTTCGGCACTACACTACAGTTATTTTAGAGTTTTCATCAGAAGCAATTGACGTGGAATTATCTCACACTAATATTTATATAGCCATTTTTTAAAGCATTATAATAAGTTTAAGAAACAGTTGTATTTATATAACCAAAAAGTTGTAAAGGTGATCCAAAGCAACAATATAGAATCACTATAAAGCAATTTAATTTTATTAACTGAAATGTTGTATTAAATAGTTGTATAAATGTTTATGTAACAATTTTATAGTTATCGTGAAAACTATTTTATAATTTTGCTGTAATATTGTAAAAACTAATTTATGTAACAATTTAGTTTCAGAGAACAAAATTGTGGTTTTTGCAGTTTTAGTATAACAAATTAGCATTCCAGAAACGGCAATATAATTTCAAAAAAATATAAAAGCCTTGTAAACTAAAAATTATAAAGCTACTTTGTTAGTTGGGATGTTAATCCAGCAAAAGAAGCAACATTGTGCAAGTTCCGTGAAGAAGAAGAGGATGCAATATCAATCCATGTCCTGTACGTGTGAAAGCCTAGCTAGATTGAGGTTTTTAACACTAGGTGAAGCAGTGCTAGAAGCATGTAAGTATGTGTGGGAGCCACAGTCAAAGCTACTAAGTCTATTAAAAAAGACGACACTTTAAATAACGGAGTCCCACAATAGATCTGAAAAGGTCGCGAAAAGTCCTTTCGAATCTAATATAATTTAACCCTGT